GTGGATCTATTGTGGCTCATGTCTAACTTATAATTCACCTTACAAACCACACCTTTTTATGAAGGTCAGGGATGAATTGGGTGAGACTTGTTGGTAGGCTCCAGTTGGGCAAATCCGAAGATTTGGAACCTAGTTCTTTCTAAAGCGAAGCAGGTACATAGAATGAGCGCTGCAGATTCGTCTTCCACGCTGCAGAATCGACAGTCCGATGTTTATTGCAGACCTCCTTCCCATGTGGCTACCTAGATAACGATGTCCTGTCGTAAGTGCGTTAGTGTTGCACCCACCGTACATTATGAGATAATTCCTTTGGTAATGCTCTTTGCAATGCTTAGGAATGGTTCTGTTCCTATGAACGGTTCCTCTTTTTGCGAGCGTGTCAGCTTTTCCACTGCCCTCAATACCGCTGTGTCCCGCAACCCAGGATCAAAATAACTTTATTCCAGGCACCTAGACACACAATGGTATTTATACAGCTCCAAACCAGCTTTGAGTCAACTCGCTCAGGGCCTTGAGGGCTGCATGGCTATCCGAAAAGATCTTTATAGTCTTGTTAGCGGGGAGAAAATTAATCACAACTCTCGCTACCAATTTTATAGCAATCATTTCTGCTTGGAAGATCATGGAGAGAGCTCAGGTTTATTGATATGTTAACGCTTGCCTTCTGGCTGAAAACTCCCGCTCCTACTATTTTTTGGAGCCGTCCGTGTACAAATTTCGAACTTGAAAAGATAAACTAAACGAAATTAGAACAAATATGATCGAAATCGCATATGATCGAAATCAGATATAATCGAAATTTGATATGTGAGAAAGTACTAATGATCAAAATAGGAAAAGATCGTAAGCATTATATTACGAAATTTGTTTTTTTCTATTTTTCTTATTATATGTATATTTTATAGCGAAACAACCCGCGATGGATCCATGCAGAATAATTATACATAAATGAGAAAATAAAAAAAAAACTTAACGAATTTACATGACCTGGGTGGCCTGGAGCCATCGCGGGTTACTTCAGTTTTAAACTTTTTTAGTTTCGAAGTTTTGTCATTCGAATTTTTTTAGTTCCGAAGTTTTGTCATTTGAACTTTTGTATTTTTTATAGTTCGAAATTTTTTAGTTTCTAAGTTGGACCATTCACTGTCAATCAATCCCAAGAAGACAGAAATGGTCCTTCTTATAAGGAAAAGGACCATCCAGAGCTCCTAAACACAAAACAAAACTTTGCAACAGAGGTGAAGTACCTAGGTCTCACCTTTGACAGCAAGTTAACATGGAAGTCACATTAGAAAACAAGAGTTAAAAGAGCGAGCATACATTGCTTATGAACAATGCCGCCGAACCTTGGGGCTTCTCCCCCAGAGAATTCACATGGACTTGCACGGCCATCATAAGACCTATGCTAACATACGGTTGTCTGAGTATCAAAAACCCATCAATTGACTATCCACAAACTAGAACAAATTCAAAGAACAGCATGTCTCAACATAACAGGAGCCTTGAAAACCACACCAACCAGAGCCATGGAAGTTATTCTTAGTCTCACTCCCCTTGATATTTACATCAAGGAGGTTGCTCTGATGACAATGACAAATATCTTCCATAAGCCATATCAAGTTAGAACGGAACAAATAGAGGAGCCGGAAGTGGCAGTTACGATCCATATCTACACCGACGGTTCTAAACCAAAAGGTCCAGGATATGGAATTATATAAAATGGGATGAGAGTAATAGTGCCAGTGTAGTTCAAACCGAGCTCACATGGATTCTAATAGCAGCAAAAGAAGTTACCAGAAACAATATAACTGGAAGAAACAGGCTCTTCTTTACAGATAGCAGACAAGCACTACTCATCCTGGACATACCACGAATTTACTCAATATTAGTAATAGAAGTCACGAAGCTTTAGTCGAAGTATACATTAACAATGTGGTCACCTTAAGATGAATCAAAGGTCATGCCACATCGAAAGGTAACCGTCTTGTTGATTCATTAGCCAAGAAGACAGCCAATCAAATACTTTTTGGACCTGGTCCTTCTATTGGCCTGATAATATCGGTAGTGACAGACCTAATTAAAGAACATTCCCTTCTGAAATTCAAGGCAAGATGGGATGAAACAAGAAACTGCAGAGTTTCCAAGGAGCCTTTAAGTTATTCTGACAACACTACAGCAAACAAATTCTTGACTATGACTAAATATAATAAGCGTCTGATCACAGGTATTCTGACTGGTTGTACGTATGCATCTCCACATCATGTACCTGTCAGAATCCACACTCTGCAGGGGGTGCGAACAAGAAGATGAAACCATCGAGCATATCCTTACGATTGCCCGATGCTCTAATTTATTAGAATATTTGTGTTCGGTGAATATCGGCTAACATCGGTCGATATAAGAGAAGCACCTCTTGGCGACGTTTTCAACTACACTAAATCTATACGCTATCAATGGGCCCACTGAGGCCTAGGTGCCGTAGGGTAGCCCAACCTAGACACGTTACAGATACAGAGATACAGATGTTAATTTTCCGAATGTTTGTATTAAAAATTATTTACAAAAGTGTCTTAAAGTTGTTTCACACGCGAAAATAATCATTAGAAACTTGTGCGAACATTAATAATAAAAGTTCTATACATGCTTCTTTAAAAAATCCTATAATGCACGCGCTTATGTTCGGGATACCGAATTTCGTTAAAAAAAATCCTAAAATGATCAAAAGAATCTTGCGCGATGATTTTTAAAGTAGTTATAGGTATAGAACTCCTGCTATCTTTTTCGCGTATTCTGGTTATGCAATATGCAGTAGAATGAATGGAATACTACCAAAAGGGCTGGTAAAATAGTAAATAAGTCTCAAACCCGCTTATCTTTTATTGTATATTAATCCGGAGGAGGATGATGATGCTGGTTGTAGTAGTAGAGGTATGATGCTCATAATGATGCTCAGCTATAATTGGGCCCGATTAGACACATATGAATATAAGTTTACAAAAAAAATATAACGGTTTTGTTATAATTAGCGAATTGTTATGCTTATTTTGATTCAAGGTCGCTCCATTGGTTTTTTATGTTCAGGGAGTGCATGTGTGAGCCAAAGTTCGAAATCAGCGATATGATACAAAATAAGCGCGAATATCATAAAATTGGATTAATTCATTTTGGAACACAATATATCTTAAAAAAGGTCGAAAAACACCAAAATCATCATTACAACTAACTATGTAAGACTATAAAAAAATATTTAATTTTGACAAAAATTTCCGAATTTTGACATATCCTTTTCACATTGAATAGCAGATTTCCTTCTCTTTCATCTAAACTTTTTATTTATTTTCTTTTTAAATATTTTTTTTTGTTTTCCCGCTACGAGTGATTTTATGTAACAATGCACTAAAAATAAAGTTTTACCTTTTATGTCCAAATATGGACTTTGTTTAGGTTGGGAATGAAAAGATTAATGATAAACGGTTGGCAACATTATTTCTAGACCTATATAACAATACGTTCCTTTATTATATTAGGTATGGGGTATTAATACACTGCGACCCAAAAGACCTATTGTGTCCCCTTCCGTCGCCAATGAACAATCCTATATTCTCAAGGTAGTGTAGGATTTGGAGTTGCTCCAAGTTAGGTAGATCCCCCTCTTCTATTTGGTATGTTCCTAAGTATCCGCACTCACTACCTTCTACTAGTTTCAGTTTACTAAGGCGTCAATTTCCGGTAACGATCGCAGTCACCCAGAAGTATATTAGCCTGCCTTAGTCCCAAGAAATCATTCCAATTATCGGTTCTTCTAATGCCCAAATATGTTTTAATCTTTCTTAATATTATGTTACTGTTGTTACTGCAAACGATTCAGGTCCTACTTTCTTTGTGAGACTATCTGCAATCTTAGTACCCTTTACTCCGTTATGTTCCGGAATCCAAGTGAGAAAAGGTTAGGAACACTGTTTCTAGACCATCATAACGACACGTTCCCTTTCTACTGAGCCAGGTGGCTCTGCAGTAACGAATCTGCCTCGCATTCGTAAGGTCGTATGTTCAATCCCAACTGCTGCATGACCTGCTGAGTTTTTCAGGTTTTCTAAAAGCAATAGGCAAATGCTGGGTCAGTGACATCCTCTCAGGTTCCTACCACCGTTCCTTCCACCCCATCCCCTCAAACTCCAGATCCTTAATCCCTCTAGTGCGGGTTAACAGGCTGCTCGGAGAGCATATAGCGGCCCACTCCCAATGGGGAGAATGAAATACACATCTTTTATTTTTACTACTTCCAATAAGGCTTATATATTTATTAGGAATATCTATCAGAAACTTAACAATGTTACAACTAGATTATTTTTTGCGACAATCTTTATCACTATTATCAATTGCATTTAAACTTAATTTTGAATAGTTATATCGCCTATTCTAGATTGGAACAGTTAAAACTGGTTAAAATCAGTCGATAGTTATTTTTTTTTCTTCATTTACTGTCTATTAATACTATGTCTTTGTTTCAAATATAATTTCAAATTATTGTCTGTATTTCTCACTTAGTTTCTTGTAGTTTTATTACAAGTAATTTGGTTTTTAATTTATACTTCGTGTTAAAAAAAAAAAAATAGTTTTTAAAAAAGTTTTCATAATGAGACTAATGAATGACATTTTACAAAAATGGTCTGTCATTACATATTATCACATTCTAAAAATAAAACATCGATGATGATAATTATTATTACTTATTTAACTAAAAACTACATTATCTTATCTGGAACGCTAAACATGGTGTATAATTATTTTAAATTATACAACCCGTATTTTAAAATTCAATTATAAACGTTTCACTGTAAATTATAAAACAAATTCAAATTACGAGTATTAGTAACTTGTTTAGGACTGTTTAATATATTTTTTTGCTTTACGTATGTCACTAGTTATCCCTAAAAAATTGGTTTAATTTCAAACATCGTTGTTATTTAATTGACATCATAATATAAAGGTATACATACCCCGATCCCACCACAGGAAAGTCTGACGAAGGCGGTTACTGGCAAGGTGCTTAATTTGCTCATATCTGTTTTATGCCTATTTAACGAACTGGTTCCATACAACAAAACATGAGATTCTGAATGACAAGTCTGTAATTCCTGGGGCGTTGCTTTTCGTGGTCTGAGCCTATCACATCTGCAAAAAAAACACATTATTAACATCAGACTTTATTCTACATCCAAATATTGTGATTATAGTGGTTTTAAAATATTGTGCACATTTCATAGATACATTTTTAATAATGTTACCCTGCACCCTGTAGTAGCCTGCGGCTATTATAGGAAACGTACGAATAAAATAAGTGCAATGTCACCCATCACGTAAAAGTACGAATAAAAGAAGAGAAAACAGTCTAGAAATATCTGGAAGGTACAAGACGGTTCAAGGGAGCTATATAAGTCGACGTCACAGTTCACTTTTATTTATGATAGACGTTGTACGTTAATATTAATAGTTGTATAATAGCTAAAAGTTCTTTAGGGGAAAGATAAAGTAATTGCGTATTTTATTAAGACCTTGGGGAAAGCTGAGAAGAATTATTGCGTCACTAGGAAAGAACTTTTAGCTATTGTCAAAGCCTTTGAACACTTCCATACTTATCTTTTTAACAGAAGTTTAATCATTAGAAGTGACCATAGCGCCTTGCAGTGGCCGGTGAATTTTAAAAAACCTGAAGGACAAGTTGCTAGATGGATATAAAGACTGCAACAATATAATTTCGAGATAGTGCATCGAGAGGCCATCTTCATAACAACGCAGACATTCTTTCAAGGCGACCCTGTTTAGAACGACTGTAAAGGGCTCGAAGAACGAGAGGAGCCGGTTGAAGAAGTTAGTTTTCAGGCAACCACTATCAAGCCAGAGAATCATTATTGAAAGCCTGACCTACAAACAAGAGCAGACATTCCTCCTATTAAACAATTCATTATGAGACAGGCGGAGAAGTTCTATGCGAACTGTCTTCCAGAGCCATTAAATACAGAAATAAGAAACATATTCGAGGGAAACAGTCAACATAGGAGGCATGGCTGCTTACACAAAATCCTACAGATTTACAAAAAACATTTAATAGCAGAACAATCAAAGGACAGAGTGACATATCCCCCCTACAGCGACTAAAATACTTAAAGACACATCTCACCACTGCAGATTAAATACTGACTAGCATGATGGAGCTGCGCCATCATTGGTCAGCCGTCCGACCGAATATCGAGAGGTTCCCTGGATATTTAGTCAGACGGAGGACTAGTACATGACGTCACTGAGATGAACAAAATCCGACGAAACTTCAAATATAACACACTCACTGACACATACTAAGGATTACCCTGTTTTTTAAACGACTTTTTCAGGGATAACTACAAAACTAAAATCAGACAAAAATCCAAATATACCCAAATATTGATATCCCAAGTTTGTCACATTGCCATAATAATGTCCGAGGACAAGGAGTGTGGAAGACGGAACCAAAAAAGGACACAGAAAAGAACGCAAGCAACAAGATATTATAGATATATTACTATATAATTAATATATCGTATAAATACCTGTTAAAAATTGTGAAACAATCTGTAATGCGCTAGTTCAGTGATGATGTAATTATGGTTCCACTGACAATTAAAGTGACAGTAGATTTTTTGAGTGCGTTTTGTTCGTTTTGTTTACCTAAATTATATCGTTTTTTTCACTTTTATAAATATATTCCTAAAATAAGTAGATAGCATGTATCAAATATACAATCGTTTAGTTACAAATTACATACCTTTAAACTATTTTTTATGACCTGTAAACTATATTTTGAAATAAAATAAAAACAGTAAGAACGTATATGTCACATTTATTGATGTTTTTATAGTTTGGTTAGAATTAAATGTCAGTGGAACCAAAATGACATCACACTGAACTAGCGCATTAGTAACTGTAAATATGTAAATAAAGATTTTGAATTGAAATTGATTCTTTAAAGCCTGAAAAAGACTCAAAAGAAAGACAATGACCTGAAGGTTGTCCGAGAATGGCTCAAAAATGGAGTAGAGACCTAGATGGCAAGAGATAGCCAAATATAGTGGAACTATTAAAGGGTACTGGATTCAGTGGGATTCCCTGCAACTTCACGATGGCCTATTGCCCCGACGGAGTACATGTAGTCAGCTAATTGGTACTGTCGAAATCACACGTCAGAAGTGTGTTGGAGGAGCTTCATAGCAGCCGCTTAGGACGACATTTTGGCACTAAAAGGATACTGGCACAATTTCGGGAAAGATTTTATTGGGTCAATTGCCGGTGGGATGTAGAAGATTGGTGTAAGAAATGTGAATTATACAATGGCAGAAAAGGGCATAAGACAAGAAGCCGAGGTAAAATAACACAGTACCTTTCCGGAGAGCCTTTCAGACCAATCTCCATAAATATCCTCGGATCACTTCCTTTAACAGATATGGGAACCAAATACTTGATGGTTGCTATGTACTATTTTTCAAAGTGGCTCGAAATAGCGCCTATTCCTAAACAGGAAGGACGACCGTAGCAGAAGCATTTATCACAAACGTCGTAGCGAGGCATGGAGTCCCTCTGAAATTGCATTCTTACCAAAGACAAAATTTTGAATCCGAATTTTTGCAAGAATTGATGAAATTGTTAGGCATCAGGAAGACACGCACTACACCTCTCCACCCATACTCCGACGTAATGGTAAAAAGATACCATTCCTCTATTTCTGCTAGCCTAACGAAGTTCTGAACATGAATCGACCAGTTATACTCCATTGCTGGAAGGGAGAAGAAGCTTCCCCACGATCTTCTTCTTGGAAGGCAGTCTCCTGGTGAAGAAGACTATCGTACACCTCCCACGTACATACAGAACTTAAGAGAAATATTAGAAAAGGTCTACGGATTCGCTCGGGAACGTTTGAATATCAACAGCGATATAAAGCAAAAGCTAAAATCAACATGCATGCCACAAGGACATATTTTGAGAGGCGACCCAGTATGGCTGTACAAGTACAATCCCAAGCGCCGAAAAGGACTTTGTCAGAAACTGCAGAGGAACTGGGAAGGTCCTTAGACCGTCGTCAAGAAAATCATTGACCTGCTGTGGGATTATCATCTTTCGATACGTTAAGTATCGAGACGCCTATCTTCTTTCGACAAACTGCCATTTTTATGTAATGTTATGACGCAATTCCCTATTTTCGATACGTGACGTGTCGAGTTCGCACATAAGAATCCCTGTCCTGGTCTACCGCATTCAGTTGTCAGCGGGAAGTAAATCCAAGGTAGTTCACATTTAAAAGTTAGCGCCAAACCATGGTCCAGATCCTCCCCGTTGTCTCCAACCAGGTCCCAGTAATCAAATTATTAAGAAACGTACGAATAAAGAAAGTGCAATGTCACCCATCACCCTACAGTGTGCTGCGGTTGTCATAAATAAAAGTACGAATAAAAGAAGAAGAAAGAATAGTCTAGAAATGTCATTCCGTGTCAAGAAATATCTGGAAGGTTCGAGAAGGTTCAAGGGAGCTATATAAGTCGATGATCTTGACGTCACTATTCAGTTTTATGATAGACGTTGTACGTAAATGTTAAAAGTCATATAATTGTAAAAGTTAAGTTTGAAACACTTGAGTTTACTAAAAACCAGCGTAACAATATTATAATTAAAAGGCGATAAAATATGACTGTATCTAATCGCTCTTATTAATACACTAGTTCGTTAAATAATTATTTTCGTCCGCCGTGTGTTTGTAAACTTTATTAATTCGTCTATTAATGGCACCTGTTAAGGAAAAAATAAACGATTTTAGTGGATAGGTAAACAAATATACATAAAATTAAGATTACATGATAGCAAGATGTCGCTGCGAAACTTATTTATTAAAAATCTTTTATAAAATATCAAATCAGTGGAAATTAGATTTTCTACGATTGAAGCAAAACATTTTGTAATTAACTCGTGTATTAAACGGCGATTAATAATCTCAACAATTAATGTCTCGATAATTAATCGCTCTTATTAATTAATATACTTTTGTTCGTTTAAATAGCAATTTTGTTAATAGGATAAAGATATATTAAAAAGAGATCGGATTAATTAATATTTTACTTGGATAATAATTATTATTGATTACATTGTGGATGTATTATTTTTTTAATCTAATTCATTTGATATCTCGTAAATACATCGCTTTTCCTATTTACTGTTTACTTTAATTTAATTGATAAGTTGGAGATTTTACCATTGAAAAATTAAAAACACTTGTTTAAATTAGATAAATAATCAACAACTATCAAGTTTGAAACATAAACAAATAGAACACCTTTCATGGAAACACTTGAAGTTTATTTACATTGTAATACGTGAATTATTACATTATTAGGATTGTATTTAATAATGTAAACAGTTGATTACATTATTAAGATAAAATTTAATAGATTTAATGAAAAAATGAGGCATACAAATGCACGTTATTTTTTTATTATTTAACATCGAAACGATAACACTGTAGATATTTTAAATAGTTACATTTTTATATTTATTTTAAGATTCACCACGTTACAGTTAATCGCCGATTTGATTACTGCAATCAAACCTCTACATTTTCTGACAAGCAGATTGGCAATTCAATAAAGAGTTAAGCGCTAACTAGTAGGTGTTATTATCGATAATTCGGGAAAATTTAATCAATTGCTATTTATGTGTTCACGGAAAACACTTTGGTGCTAAATATCGGTGCAATAAAAGTTAACTAGTCTTTTGTAATGATCAAGGTTCAAGGAGAAACTTGAATAATTTTGAACATTTTTGATTATGTACACCATTTTAATCGGCAATTTAAATTTTTATTATTTCTAAAAGTTAAAATTTTAAGAAGTGTATTAAATATTTTAAACTAGAGAAAGATAGTAAAATTATTGTACCTGGATACTAAACCAGTTTCAAGTAACCTGGACCAAATACTTTGTAATCTTCCAGCGTGTTCGGGATGAATGGCGTTGTTACCGCATACGCATGCGTGCTTGAGCATCTGGTTATCATAAGCGAGTCCTGTGGTGGGGGCCGATGAGGCCCTCCGCCTCGACAGCGTGGGGCCCTCGCCTGGTGGTCCTAAGTGTACTACTGGGGAACTTAGCGCTCTCGACAGCGGTCGTATACTGTAACAAAAAATATAGTTTTAGCGCCAGTAACGTTTACTTAAAAGTCCTAAGAACTATCCCAGATTCACCTTATTCTGTTTTATCCCAAAGAAGGAGAAAAAGTGCGGGTTACCATTCAAATCCAAAAAACAGCCGGAAAATTTGATTTTTAATTCCAATACACGTTCGTTTTAATAATATTTTAAAACAATAAAAACTATAGATTGCTTATGGGTTTCATAACTCTTTCCTTTCTATCTAATAAAACATCGAAAATATGTAGTTAAAACAGAACGAGATAGTTAGGTATTTAAACTAAAAACGTTTTTTTTTTCTACTTTTATATGTGGCAAAAATGTAAGGTAGTTTCTTAGGAATTTAATCCGTTCCGTTCAGTTATGAGTATTCTGTGGTTATTTATGATCTACACAACAATATTTTCGATATTTTTACACCATTCGCTTATATCGGGCGGTATTAGCCAAAACTCGCCGAAAAAAATCTTCTTATTAATAAGAGCGACGTAGAGAATTTGCTCGATGGTCTCAGCTTCTTGTTCGCACCCCATGCTACGAAGATGCCTTCATACCTTTCAATGGCCAGTCAGGTGATCAGGCGCAGATTATGTCTAGTCCATCGAGATAGAATGAACTGGAGACGACATAAACACTATTTTGCGATATTACAGATGGACGCACTTAGGAGTGATGGAAAAGTGTAATCAAAATGGCGACTTCAAGTCGTACTTTGATTTATTTGAAGTCAATAATTTTATATTTGAAGAATGACGGAATGAAAATGTTTTCATATCATTTAAATGAAGCTATTTATACAAAAATGGGCATTTATTATCACCAAACTAGACCAGCTCAACTAGCTCAAGTTTACCACATGACGTAAAAGTAAAATGTAAAGATGCAGACACTTTTAATATCGTCATAGCATCTCCCCTTTATTCTATCTCATAGTCAAGTATTGGTTTGTTGTGATGTTGTCATCGTAACTGAAAAGTAACCTGGCAACTCTGCAGTTTCTTGTTTCATCCCTCATTTCCTTTCCTTGAATTTTACAATGGAATGTTATTTAATTAGGTTTGTCACCACCGATGTTTCCATTCTAATAAAAGGGTCAGGTCCAAAAAAGTATTTGGTTGGTTGCCCTCTTGACTAGTGAATCAGCAAGACGTCACATGAATTTCGATCCATCTTAAGGTGAAAAAATTGTTGATGGATACTTCGGCCAAAGCTTCGTGACATCCTAGTACTATCCTTGGGTAAATTCGTGGTCTGTCTAGGGAGAGTCATGTTTGTCTGCTATCTGTACAGATGAGCAGTTTCCTTCCAGTGATACCGTTTCTGGTCATTTCTTTTACTACTATGAGAAACCCCGTAAGCTCGTTTGAACTACACTGGCACTATTGCTCAAAGCAAATTTCATGTTCAGGTTTAATGATCTGAAGTATATTCCACATCCTGAGCCTTGTTTTAGATCCGTCGGTATAGAAATGAATCGTACCTGCCACTTCCGCCTCTTCTATTCGTTTCGTTATATTTATTTATAGAAGATGTATCTATCAATTTATGAAATTAATAAAAATGAGGAGAATAATCCTCCTCTCAAAAAAACAATGAATATGTTGGAAAAAGTACGGTATACAGGTTGGTAAAATCAGAAAATCTTTACAAGTTAAATGCAACGAACACATTTAGAAATATATATAGTAGAACTGAGAAGTCCAATAGGTATAGTGTATTTATTATGTTTAATATAACCCTCATGATGATAGACTAAACAGCAGAAACGCTTGACTTTTAAATAGAGCAGTTTCCTGTAAATACTGACCTCTCCTAAACAATTTAGTGGAAAAATTAAGTTTTGACGTTATATTCTCCAGGAAAATTTTACGAACCTAAATAACTAGGTTTTGTCTCATTTTAATATTCTAAATAATTATATAGCTGGGTACAGAAGAAGAACTTAATATATACGCTTAAATATCTAATTTAGAAAAGTATTGCAAAGTACAAAGTAAATATATTACATTCTATAAATATCCGGAAAAGTAGGACAGGTAATTATTTAAATATTAACTTTTAACTAGGTTTAAGACGAATTTAGAATATTAAAATATAATCTCAGTTTTATGTTAAATCAGAGATAAAATATAATAAGTAATGATTAAGGTAGTTCACTCGCGACAGTCGTACACAAAAATATCGCCCTATAGTGAATACCAACCGTTCGAGATTCTTAAATCTAAAGAAAGATTATTTTTGTAACAGACTGTACACACAACACATGTGATCCTATACAGTGAGCATCATAAGTCATACCCCCCTAACTAACTCGTTACTGGAGTCTTGTTAGGAAAATCGCCAAGACAGGTCGATTTTTGATTTCTACAATGTAAATTTTTGTATGATTAGTTTACCCTTAATTTCATCCCTTACTGAAGGGGGGCAACCCTTTCGAAAAATTTAAATGGCATGGGGTGGTGAGTGATAGCTCATTTGAAAGGGGGTTTTATTCTCTATTCAACCGTGCAAAAAAATTTGAAATTTGCTTCATTACGTGTTGATTTATTAATGTTTAAAAATAACAAAATCTCACAAAATAGGATAGCAACTAAACTAACAGTGACCTTCTAATGGCAAAAAGTCTTACTTCACGTCTGAACCAAAACCGAAATCATGCAGGGCTGAATTTTAATTCTAAGGATGAGTGCGCTACGTTAATTTCCGTTATTCTGAAACAACAATTAGTCGAGAATTAATGAAGCAAATTTCAAAAATTTTTACACGGTTGAATGGAGAATAAAACCCTCTTTCAAATGAGCTATCACTCACCACCCCATGCCATTTAAATTTTTCGAAAGGGTTGCTCCCCTCCAGTAAGGGATAAAATTAAGGGTAAACTATTTATACAAAAATGTACATTGTAGAAATCAAAAATCGACGAGTCTCGGCGATTTTCCTAACAAGACTCCAGTAACGAGTTAGATAGGAGGGGTAAGACTTATGGTGCTCACTGTATACAATAATAAAGTAAAATAAATGAAAATATCAAAATGTTTCATTGTCAGAATCAATTAATTGCGAGATAAAGGAAAATTTGTTAAGCAGAACGTCCTCAACAAACGCAAAAAATCAATTTTGGCTATGCAAAAAAATTGAGAAAGGAAACCCCAAGCTTGAGAAATAACCTGTGCAGTGGTCGCATCGTGGAATTACGAGAGTTGGGAAAACATTTAAAATGTTGCTTGTGTGAAAAAGTTCTTTCTCTTGAAAATATTACAAATGAAACACGAAAGGGCCTTTATTCAATTTTAAATGTTAAATGTAATCAATGTAATATTGAAACTATAGTACCTACGGACAAAGTTCATGCAACAAAAAGTGAAGTAAAGCATTCAGATGTCAACACTAAAGCAGTTCTAGGTAAATTTTAAAAAAATACATAAGTATTTGTTATGTTTATAATTTTTTTATTATAAATAATATAATTTTATTTATTTAAAGGTGCTGTCCTTTCAAGGTTTCCTTTCTTGCTGTCATGAACGTTCCTACGATATCATCAATACTACAGAAAATCATTACTTTTATTTGTATTTTTTTATGACTTCCTCATACTAGTAAGTTAAAATTTTAAATTACTTTATATTCATTTTTTTGTGTAACTGTATTTTATTTTGAAGGCATGTTTAAATAAAATTATATTCATCTTTTGCATATTTATTTAATTTTGAAGACATGTTTAAATACAATTAAATTTAAATTGTTAAGGGTCGGTCTTTTCACCCTCAGATAAAGTGTCAGGTAATCGTTATCTCCCAGATAACTTAAAAAATCATCTTTTCACTTTTGGATAAAACTAACCGGCAGATAAATTGGTCTAATCTGAAAGATAACTTATCTTACCTTTGAACTTCCTGATAAAGTAGTTATCTGATAGATAAGTAGGTATATGACATAATAAATAATATGCGATACAAGTCAACACATTATTGTATTTGACATTATGGACGTTGTTGAAGATGTTGTGTTTTTGAAAATAGTGGATTACTTATTTGTTTCGTATAGGTAATTTTTTTTTTTCGAAAAAATACTAACTAAGCTGTATAATAAAAAACAGCCTTTACATTTATAAAATAGTATATGGCAAATAGTGTAAACTAATGCCCTTCGCACCAATATTACATACATACAGAATAAAAAACTACACCTTCGAAATATTCAATTTAATCAAATGAACAATCTATGTTAATTATAATACAATAGACTTAAGAATCAATTTTTTATTTGGCAGTACTGCTTTGTGTTTCAAGCATCCTCTTGCTTATTGAAAGTTGGTCGATGTTTTCTGTTTTGTCACTTGCTTTATGGAGTTTTAAATAAATATTATCAGAAAAATACAAAGACCTTTCAACTAAGTGACAAAACGAAATAATGACAACAAGTGACAGTGAGAATGACATATTGCATGTATAAATACATTGATATGAAGGTAGGTACATGACCATAGAACGTTAAAAAGTACCAGATAACTACCCTACAGATTATTTCTCTTGAAAAGACGGAAACCTCATTATCTGTCAGATAGTAACTCTCGGATAATATACCCTTTGGTTAGTTAACTGGAACTTTATCTGAAAGTGAAAAGACCGACCCTGAATCATATCAACCTAAAGTATAAACAACGTCCCTTCCCAGAAGGCCTCCATAAAGTGATAAACTTGACCTGTCCGCGGCAATAAAAAGGTTGAGAAGCACTGATCTAACAGACATTTGAATTAGCGGGCGTTGAGTGTATCGATTACAACGTTGCCAACTTGTAATCACAATACGCCACTATGCGTCGACTGCTTTAAGAACATTTTTATTTTAAAAATCTATTTCTTTATCAAAACGGTAAAAAAATTCAGCGTTTTTTTAGAAAATTTTATAACTTCTTGATTTACATTACATTAGTTTTTTAATAATATGGTAAGAACCGTTTTCGAGATATTTTGAAATAAATGC